GGACAAATGAAACTACAAGCTGTCTATTTCATGATGGTGTTTTTTGTTTTTGTTTTTGTTACAGTGTCACTTAGACATTAAGTGGACCAAAGGGACTAATGATATCTTAGTTCCATCGTCACTTCCATAAATGAATGTCGATATTAATCATTTTTAAGATCTCCAAAATCGCATTATGGCCCACCAAATTCTGACATTCAACCAATGGGATCAATATATAACTATATATATATATATACTAAGGTTAATTAGAAAACTGAATTAACTTTTCTAACCACAAATGCTAATTAAATTATTAATTAAATCATAACCCACACATCAGGGAAGATCCACAGAAAAATAGAGGAAGAGAGAGAGAGAAAGGGACAATGATTTTCAAGTCCAAATCTGCTTTATTAGATATGTTTCTAGGCACTTTTCCCCCCTTAAAAGACATCCCAAAAAAAATGTGGGTGTGACTCACTAAGCCCCCCCTCATGAATTCCAAGTGACACCCAATCAAGCAACTTAATTATTTCCTAATTCTTTGCTTTTTCCCAACATCTTTACACACACACATATTGAATATATAATTAAAATTAGATATACCTAAAATGGGTGTTAGTGGATGTTGGGTGGAGTTTAGCTTTAAGTCATGTGCATTGAGTCTTCCCTTGTAAATATATACACCATAAAATTATATCTTGTCATATAAAATAAGCATCTAATTTAATTAACATGGACCCTCCTAGTCTAGATCTCAAGCCTAACTCATATATTCTTTAAATCACATACCTTGTTCTCTACAATCAAAAGAATGAGATTGGTCAGATTCATATTTGTTAGAATTGGAACTCAAATCTCTAACACTGTACTGTTATTATTATATATAGAGTAATGATTTGCTAAATCTCTAACACATAATTCTTTAAATTATTTTCTCAATCTTAAACCCTAATCGATTTTGCTAATAGAGATAAAACAAACCCTCCTTTTTTTTCCTCAAAAAAAATATATTTTTCTTCAACCAATATGCCCGTTCACCTATCTGCTGCAACATATACTACAGCAGGAACCGTTTTCATGACAAACCAATGCAATATTCGGACATAGCATACTAAGAACCACACGTATAGTATCACAGAGACAAGGAACCAAGAGAATGGCATATCAAACGGAAATATTTAACCTCTCAAGAATCGAAACAAAATGCCCGAAAGTCTGTACCTTTTTTTTCTCTCTTTCAACCGAGCTTCTTATCGGATCCTTTGAGGTTCAAGTTGAACCATTTCCTTTTGGATTTGTCTTTCCCATCTGACCCGCCTTCTTCTCCCGCGCTATCAGCCTTTGGATCTTCACCCGGAATTTTGCTGCTACTTCCATTACTCAAGTTGCTGCTGCTTCCGCTTTGGCCACTTGGTGTTTTCACGACAGTGAACGAGGAATGGATCACATCCCGTTGCTTTAGCAGTTCATCGACCTGCGGCATTAGCAAAAACATAATGACCATTGTTAAGAAAGGTAAAACATGTCACAACAATCTTGATGAGTATACGTTTGAGTAGATTGTATTTCTGCAGTCTATTTGCCACAAATACACCAAGCATGTGTGATGTGTGTCATTACAGAAACAATTTACATCAGAAATCATGCAAAGTGACACAAAAAGAAAAACAATTTTCCTATTTTGGTGTCAATGGGAATGTTGGGCATTCAATAGATAAATTCTTTCATAAATATATATTTTAACAACGTACAGTTTGCTTCTCCTGGGTATATCGGTTGGTAACTTCTTGAAACCGTGCCAATGCCTGTAGAGGATTATAATCAATCATCAGGGTGCTCATCTTTTCAAATATGTAGTACAGTAAGAGAGGACCAAACCGGGAACATACTTTTCGGTACTCTGTCTCAAATTGGCGCAACTCGTTTCTTTTCCTCAAAATTTGAGCTTCAATCTCCTTCAGTTTCTCTGTTGTATCTTCGTATGACTTTGCACAAAGTGCCTCAATTGTGTATGATGCAGTCTTAAAGAAGTTATCTCCTGAAAGTAGTATAAGGCAATCAGTTAGATTAACGTCTATAGTGAATTCCACAGTGATCATGAAGGGACAAAATAAACATTTCAGACCATAAACAGCGAATATATGAGTCCCAGCTTTAAGTTCCAAAACCTCGCAAGGTTGAAGACCTTCCAGCCGCTTAAAGAAAGCTGATTCAGGATCCTTGGCTATAGCTAACTGCACAATGGCCACCATGTGTACTTTATATACATCTTTGATATTCTGAGATTCCATCTTATTTATGAGAGGGACATAGGTCAATGATAACGTACTGCATTTAAAGTCGAATCCATTCTGTATACTTGAAAATGTAAGAAATACATGCCGGCTGATGTCACCTTGCCTGCTTTTTCACTATCTTCCTGCACGACGAGAGCAACAAGAAACCATGTATTCAAGAATGAAATTAATAGCGTCTCATAAATACAAGAATAGCGTTTGTGCCATCACAGAAAAAACATGCACATAGTTACATGAAATGTGAGGAACTTTTAAAGCTAGATAAAAAAAGAGGCATTCTTGCCACTTAAAAGTAAGAAGAGAAAAGAAACAAGAGACATTGTTTCTTTCACTCATTCATCTGCAGACAGTTGTTGCAACCAAGAACTGAAAAGAAAACACGCATGTTTTATACCTGTAATGCCAATCCGTAGCCACCATTGGAGTCTTGCTCAAAATAAAGTAACTGAAAATTAAAAGGTTTAAAATCTAGTTATAGCATTAATTTGGAGAAAGAAATATTTAACTCGCTAGCAAAAGAAAAAGGCTGAGTAATCAGTACAGAATACAAGACCTTAAATTTACTTTGTGCAGTCGATGTTACTCTGACAACAATCCCTGCTTCAGCTTGTTGATCATTTATTGTTACTCCAAAGAAATGGGCACATTGCTTCTCGACCTGGCACAAGGTGATGAATTAAGATCAAGATGCAACAAGAAATGCATTGAAATGTAGAATATGCGAATGAGATGAATCAGACCTTCCCACTAACTGCTGTACCAATAGGAAGGGGCCTAACTGTGACTGTTCCATTCATTGCCTCTTCAAGAACATTAGCAGATACAGTAGTCTTAATAGGCACACCTAGTTTGCTGAATGTTTAGATTTGCAAGAAGGACCGAATGAGTAGCAGAATCCCAGTAGAATAAAGACTCAAAATTACCGATTTCTAAAAGACTCAAACTTCACCTGAATAGTGCTGCAAACATGGTATTTACAGTTCCAAGATTTGACAAGTCGATTTCCATGTCCATTCCATCAGCATCAAGGGCCTAACAACATGTATTAGCTTTTGTAGTCAAGAGTGTGTTTCGATGCTTTTAAGTAGGATTATACAAGCACGCAATGACAGAAGATGAGAGCACATGATTCTACTAGTATAGGACCATAGGTACAGATATGTTTATTTGTCGTAGAATAAAAGCCTTACACGAAGCCGGAGAAGGGAAGTAAGCTGGAGAAATTTCTTGTGATTGAAAACAACGAATATAGAGAAGAAAGAGAAATCACCTCAAACCCTGCATTGTCATATTGCCTTCTCTTCTCTGGGTCAGACAAAATGCTGTAGGAATATGCAACTTCCTTGAAAAGTTCAGAAGCTTCAGGATTGTTGGCATTCTTGTCCGGATGATACCTACCGATTATTCAAGTTCATGATATGGAGGTCTCATGTTAAACAGAATCCAAGAAGAGTATCGAGACACGACCATGAAGAACAAAATACACAACTATCAGAATTCGACCTCCAAAATAAAGAGATTAAGAATCTCAATTGCTATCCATAAAGACATGATATGATTAAATAACTTATAACCGCAAATGGGAAACAATATAGTCAAAAGTTAAAATGACAAACAAAGAAGAAGATTCGGAAATGAATTATGCATCCTAAACCACTCAAACTCGTTTGGGAATCCAAGCATGGAATCCACTACGAATACCAATATCCGAGTGCCTAACTCACGAAACCCCCAACCTATCAACCATGAAACATCTATGTCAAATCGAATGATTCGAATCATCCATATCTCCAAGTCCCGAATCCTAAAATCTAAAAGCCATAAGTTTGACAACTACGAATTCCCAATTCAAATCGGGCACAATCGATCACAAACCACGAATCGGGCTCCAATCTTTCGGATTAGATAACCAGATCATCTTACGCATATATAGACGATTCGCCAAGATACTTACTTGAGAGCCAGTTTCCGGTAAGCGGTTTTGATTTCCTGATCACTTGCATCTCTAGATACACACAGCACCTCGTACGGATCACGTCGAATCGCCGGAGCCGATGACCCTTCGAGCTTCTTCGAACTCATTCCTCCGAAATTCTAAATTCTCTCTCACCCACTCCAACAAAATCCCTACCTCTTTTCTTCTATCAACGATGTCTCAAAGACGAAACGATTTCAGGGAATCAAATCGGAATTTTGCAGATCCAACAGCGGCGATACCGAGAAAGGTGCAGATTATCAAATCTCTCCGACCGAGAAATTACGAGAAATTCCAAGCAGCATGATGTTGCTCAACCCGAAAAAGGAGCCTAAGAACCAGAAATGAAGATCTAATATCGCCAGACAAGAGGGAAATGGAATGAATATCGAGGAGGAAGACGACGAAGCTAGGGTTTTCGAAAAATCTTCCAATTTTTTTTCCTGTTTTTCTAATCCGTGTGATGTAAGAACTTCTTTTGTTGTTTTATTTTTGAGATTTTTATTATTATTATTATTATTTTTTCCTATCGTTAAAATTCCAAATTTCTAAATTAACAGCGACACTACGTGATTTTAGCTCTCTAAATTTCTTTTTTCCGATACTTCACTTTCAAATGCTTTGATTTCCTTTAAAATTTACCACAAGAAGTTTAGTAAGAATTATATATTTTTCCTTTGTACTATTATCATTACGACCACGTCTTTTTAACCAAAAAAAATTACGACCATACAATCTAGGGGTGGGCATTCAGTTCGGGTATTTTGGTTATTAACCGAACCGACCGATATATACTCGAACCGAACCGAACCGAATAAAATTAAATAACCGTTTGGTTATGATTTTTTAAAACCCGAAATAACCGAATCCGAACCGAACCGAACCGATTAAAAATTATTAACCGTTTGGTTATAAATTTTTATAAACCGAATTAACCGAACCCAAACCGTTTATATATCTTCATTTATATATATTTATATACATATATGAATTCATTGTTTTATTATATTTTAAACACATTTTATCATTGTTATTATTATTTTTAAAGTTTGTGTGATATAAACATTAGAAAAAAACGATCTTTATTTATTTAATAGTTTTATATCAAAATATAAATTTAGATATTATTATTTTATATGTTAAAATAATTATGATAATATTTTATATTATATTTTATTTGAATATTTTTAATTATAAATGAATTGATTTTTTAAATATTATAACCGAACCGAACCGAAATATTTATTTGGTTATAGTTTGGTTATAGTTTTAAATAGACAAAACCGAACCGAACCGAACCGAAACCGAACCGAACCGAACCGAATAAAATTAATTAACCGTTTGGTTATGAGTTTTAATAACCCGAAATAACCGAACCCGAAATAACCATAACCGATTAACCCGTAACCGACCGTTCGCCCACCCCTTACAATCAATATAACTTTGGATTAATCGCATAAAAATACCCGAACTTTTACAAAAATCTCAAATAAATATCCGAACTATAAAATTGTCATATAAATACCTGAACTTTTCAAAACTCTCACATAAATACCCAAACTTTTAAATTTTTTCCAAATCAAACAAATACAACTGCTAACTCAGCAAAAAACTGTTGACTCAGCAAAAAAAATATTGACTCAACAAAAAACAACTGACTCAATATTCAAAAATATTATTAAATATCCAAATATTCATCTACATATATTTAAATTAATATATACATATAAATTTACATATATATACATATATATATATATATATATATATTTAAAATAAAATTATTTATAATTAATAAAACACATATACACATAACTACAATATATATATATATATATATATATATATATGAATTTATATGTATATATTAATTTAAATACATGTAGATGAATATTTGGACATTTAATAATATTTTTGAATGATGAGTCAGCAGTTTTTTGCTGAGTCAGCAGTTTTTTTGCAGAGTC